GACCTCAGAACCTGGCCGGCGGCTGTCTTTGCGTTCTCTCGTGTCGGCGCTTTGAAGGTCGCGTTCCTGTCCCGTTCTGCCCGCCTCCCCTGGCCTGTGGACTTCCTTTGTTCTCCTAACCTCAAGATGGTCAGAGTGAAAACTCGCGTGCTGGGCCGTCCTAACAGCACTTTATTATTCTGTTTACTCTTTTTACTTTAATTATAGGTGATTTTTAAAATAAAATCAGTCCTGTTTACTTTAACATATGTTTTTGTTTCATTGATTTTAATTTTAGTCAGTTATTTTCTCAATTTATTTATTTCCCAACATGCGCATATTTGCAAATTTTAATTGTGGTGCACTTTGTTGTTGAGAAACTTTAGGACATTTAAATGACTATTCCTGCCTTTGCTACTTGTATAAACTTTATTTATTGTTCACATTTTCTCTCCTTTGTATTGCGCAGACTGCTTCCTTCTTTTAAAATCCGGTTCTGTGTTAAAGAAAGATGGGTGTTTCGCGTGCTGACCTAGAACCTAAACTAGGATTCTAGCAAAAAAATCTCCATTAGCACTGGCCACGCAGTACAGAATGTCGGAGAGTTTGGTTTCCTTGGTGAGCCCCATATTAGACTGTTACCGAAACAGGCTTAGACAGGCTAACTCACCATTTACGTTAAGAATGGCTATCTTGAAGTGGAATGCATCATCTTCTTTGTAAACGCAGCGATACTCCCCTGCATCCTCCTGCAGTACTGGATCAATCTTCAGCTGGAAGGTGTCCTCATCGGTGGTGGTGTGCGGAACAAAGTTGATGCGCTGATTGGTGGTTATTTTCATGCGACCCCTTGTTAGCAATTGGCGCGGCATTTTTAGCCAGGAGATGCGAAATATTTGCTGTTGCGAGACGGAGAGGGAGGGAAGGAGGAAGGGAAGGATCTTAGATTAAAATGTTATACTTCCTCAGGAAATATTTCCGATCTGGATGGTGTGCAAACTCTAAAAGCAGCATCAAAACAATAAAGACTGTCAGCGGCCACAACCACACGTACATGCTTTGCCTGTATACATTGCTACT